GGGGCTCGAAGGAGGAGAAGGATATGCGGGGCTGGGGAGGGGAGAGGCTGCCTGGTGGGGGAGGCGCAGGGGGCACCTCCGGGGAGAGGGGGATACAGGGCGGGGGTAACGGGGTGCGGAGCCTCGGGGGAGGTGAGGAACGGCCGAGTTGTAAGGGGGTCGTGGGGCGAGAGAGGGTATGGAGGAGCTTTTGTGGAGAGGGAAGACCCCAAGGAGAGGAGAAAGCTGTGAGGAGAGGGTTTGCAGGTGGAGGGTTTGCATGGAAGGAGTTAGAGAGGAACAGGAGCTGCGTTACCCCCCTGGTCCTCCTCCCCAGAAAAGATTTAGGGTGACCCTGATGGAGCAGTGTCCTTTTACTTCTCTGTTTCTCCTTCCTCCAGAGGGTCAGAGGTGGCTTCCCGTGGGCATTTCTCATGGGCTCTGTCCCCTCGTTTTTCCTTCCTAGCATGCTCTTGCCCAACAGTACAAATGTCACTTGTTTGTCACCCGGCACGACGTGGTTATGAGAGATTAATGAGCCACTTCCAGACCCTTCCCTGGCCTGGGACTGTCAGAGGCTGGTGTTGTGTAACTTCGATGCCAAAGGGGGAACACAGAAAGTTTGTGGTCTCTGGGCACCTTGTTTCCAGTTGGCAGAGTGGGAGTAATAAGTGTGATTTTCTGCTGGAGTTCCATGGGGATCAGAGTTCACGAGGCTGCCTGGGCCTGTGAGGCTGTTGCTGAGGGGCCTGCAGGTCTTGCATCAGTGAATTGCCCTCCTGCCAAGTCCAGAGTCCTTTGAACTGAAAATGGAGTATATGTGTGGAATGAGAGTGCCAGGGGTTGAGCTCGCAAAGAGCTTTGATTTCTTTCTCATTTCATTAACTTCTAATTTTATTTTCAATTTTCTGATACCTCTGCCTTGAGGTAGAGCAGATAAAATGCTGTGTCGTTGTTGACCCACTGCTGAGGTTTGTGGAAACTGAGCTTGTTTTCCTGTCCTGGTCTGTCCCCAGAGGCCTTAGTTCTTAATGACCCTGACTTCCAGCACGAGGATTTGAACTTCCTGTCCCGTAGCCAACGCTATGAGCAAGCCATCAGGAAGAGCTCCTTGATGGTGATGAAGCTAAGGGAATATGGAATTGCAGATCCCGAGGAGATCTACTGGTTTAAAAGGTACCCAAAAAGATGCAGAGTTTGCTTCTTGTATGTACTTCAGTCGTCACCAAGGACATTAGGATTGTGCTTTTTCCCAGTGTTTGTTGTCTAAAGGAAACTCAAGACCACTCAAGTCTTTGGTTTCAGTGAATTTCAGATTAAATCCTGAATTCCTGAATATTGTGATTTCCTAGGGCTGTTTTTAACATGAATACAAGATTAACAAATATACCCTGTTCTTTATATGCAGTGCAGAAACTACAAAACAGAACTTGAAGTCAGATTTTTTTCCCTAAAGGAATAAAAAAAATATACTGAATGACTTTGAATCTGGATAGATCTGATGAGTTTTCAGCTTCTAATGAAGTCACTAAAAGCTGATTACTTCACTTTGCACTTAGACCCAATAAAGTCACATTGCAGGCATACTTGAAAATATTCCAAGATGGCTTATAAGTTGTTTATCACTGTGTGTTCTGTGTCCCTCCTCTAAGCTCCTGATGCTACAGAGGTTCTCTTTGACCCAGAGGCTTCTTGTTGTAGCTGACGTTTGGTTTATCTGATAGTACAACCTTTGGATCAAGTTTATCAAAAGAAGAATGTCTTTACATCTGAGTTTTCATTCCTTCCAGAAGGAATTAGAACTCAGTTCCTGATTTTGATGCATTTCTCCCCCTAATTCTGTTTAAACTCTTTCTGATTTAATCAAACAGAAGTTGATAAGAGAGAGGTTACACAGATCTAGAAATCTGTCATAATTCCATGGATATATTCTCTGGCACATTAAATAATGAACCACAAGCCCCCTCTGACTGGTTTTGTAGAAAAGCTGTCATGGGCCCCAAGTCATGACCATGGGCACTGAAAATTGAAATCATCTTGTCCACTGTGGTTTTACTTTCAGAGAAGCTGGTCTACACTCACCTGTGTCATGAAAGTTCTCATGGAAGTAACGTAAATAAATTGAAAATTATCATTGGTGGACAGTGTTTACAGGGAACAAGTTCAGTGACAGTAGTGGATTATTCAGATGCTGCACAGCCAAAGTTAATCATTATTTTTTTTCCTACACAAAGTTTATTGAAAGTGACAAGGAAGTTTCTTCCTTTATTTATTTATTTCTACAGAGAAAATTCAGCAAAGTCTATCCAGTCTATCAGATGGAAAATTTTCACAGATTTTCTGTCTTTTTGTAGCATTAAATGACAATATTATATGAAAACAGACCTTTTTGAAGTGGTCAAATGAGAGTTTCTAGTTTTGTCTTTCCATAAACTTACTTTGGAGTCATCAATTCTTAAGTGGAAGAAAGTGTATTATTTCATACAGATACCAAATAGCACCTCCATATATAAGGTGACATGAATGGTCAGGTGTGACTAGTCAGAATTCACAGTCCAAAACCAACTGTAACAATGAAAAAAGCTTATTTTTTTCCAAGCTAAAATCTATTTGCAGCCATTCAGGATTTTAAAATGTAATTGCAATTACTGCAGACTGACTGTATTTGCTGTTTTTTATTTCTTTTATATACCATATTCATTCTATAATAACATGGAACAGAATGAAGAGCAGTGCATAAAGTTCTTGCCTGCAGGTGAAGTGTGTTTGCTTTAAGAACTGTACAGTGTTAATATTCTGAAATTACTTCTTTACTATAATGTGTGGTGTTGGCAAGG